TTTTTTCAAATTAGTGATATGTCAAGGACTTCAAGGGCAGAGATTGTAACTCCAGAGGAAATGGGTAGTATTCCCTGCAATTATCCAATCAGTGATTTCGGGGAACAGAAATATTCCTGGCAAGAGATGTCTCATCACAGGGAACATGACCACAGTGAAAGTACTGTACTTTAGAAAAGCCAAAAGGTAGATCAGGATCTATGGGGATATGACAATGGCATTTTCAAAACAAAACAAAAACCATATAAAAGTAAACATTATGCAGGCCTCTTGAATTAGAATAAAAATATCTCTCAATGTTTTTGTGTGGAAATCAGTGTACAAAGCAAATGCATTCAAATCCCTTAGATATATGATGGAAGGGAAAACAAATCTCACTTCAAAATGAGTCTCAAAGCTGAAGAGAAGCATTTCTCAGGAAAAGCTGCTGCGTATTCCCTAGGATGATCAAAATAGTCATAACTTTGGAAGTATTCCATTGGAGCCTGCGCAGGTGGCAGATACTCCATATGTGTGAATTCACAGAGTCCATGAAGAAAAATTAAGTGATTAATTTCTAGGCCTTCCGACATTTGATCAGATGATCTCTAAAAATATTTGGCAGGGAGAGAGGGGATGCAGGGGATAATCCAGGGCTAAACACATTGCTCAGACAAGAAATTGAGGTGCCCACAATAACTTCAAAGGCTCTTGGAGGGCTGATATAACTTGCTTGACTATTGAGAAGAAGAATACCAGTTTAGTTCGAAAGCAGAAGATCTTCACCCATTTCAAGTAGGGCCGTTTCTACATCGAGATTTCTCTCTAGGCATAAAGCTTTAACAGCCAATGCCCATTCTGCAAGCAATATCCTTCTGAAACATATCCAAAGTATCGAAGGGGAGGTCCTTATGTTTATACTGAATTACATTTTGACAGCCAAGCAGGTAGCAGTAATCACAATAACTAATGTATTGGAGCTTGAATATAATGCACATATTATGCCTCAGGTTCAGTCCCAACTATCCTCATTCATTAGGTCTTCAAAATATCCCCCTTGGTTTTGGAGGCCTTGTGAATGAGGACAGATGGGAATTGTACAAGGCTGGCAAATTCACCAGCATCAGCCTAATAGCAGGGCATGGCTTTCCAAATGGCCTCATTCATGCTGCCTGACTCCCTGACATGTTATGCCTGCACTGTTGGGCACATCCATTTTTTGTAATGTACAGCTACAAAACTGAGGTGTGTACTACATTAGATGGTGCATTAAACTCGAGTAAATAAACTACAAACCCCTGGAAATAGATGGAGAGACAATGGATGTGATGAAGATAATTTAAGCTGATTAGTGTGCATCTACATTTTCCTCTTATATCAGAACACTGAAGATGAAACAGAGTGGGTACTCCTGCTGTTGTTCCTCTTTTTTTTTCCCTCCTCCTATTATTTAAAAAGTGTATGAATTCTTCTTCCATCTTCTTTTTTAGTTCAGAATAGGTTACAAAACACAAGTTGAGAAATCTGTAACAGTACACCAGGAGTGGGAGGAGAATCATTGATGTTAATCTTAAAACATATGCTCCAAAGGGTTAAGACCACAATTCCAATAGAAGGGGGCTAAACACAAGAAAGCCAAGAGCATCTCCTTGGGTCTTTCTAGTGATGTCTTTGTGACCATGACTCTCTTTGGAAAGAATGATTTCTTACAATGTTTTCAGTCTGGACTACATACAGTTGGGATTGTACTGCCTGTAACCAAAATGACCCTGTTCCACAAGTTTTACTTTAAACTGGGCTGCAGATTTCTGTGAGCCTGGGGTTCACATGTTTTGATCATGTATGTGTAAGCCTCCAACTGTCACTCTATGGTGACTCCATTAATTTCATAGTTTTCTTAAGAAAAAAATACTCATAAGTTCTTTGCCAATTCCCTTTTTTTGACATACAGCCTACAGCAACTCATATTCATTGGCAGTCACCCATCTAAGTAACTAACCAGAGCTGACCTTGCTTAGCTTTCAAGATCATATGAGATCTTGTGCCTTTGGGGTATTACCAACTCCCAGACAAAATAAGAACACTGGATGGCTGTCAAAACGAAAGTACTTTGTTGTTATATAAGGCACGCTTACCAAATGGCACCTTCAAGACCATAAACTACAAGTTGCTGTCAAAAAGCTCATGAAAAAGAGGGGCTGTGGAAAAGAGTAAAGAGAAAGAGGGAAAACCCAATATCTAGAAACATTTAGGGGGGAAAATGAAGAGAGTTGCTGCAGAGGCTAACAGAGCAGAAGTCAGAAAGAAACTGCAAAGGATATCTCAAGGCAAGCATAGGGAAATGGATCTCCTACAAAATGTTCAGCATAGAAACACAAATCTGTGCAGATATGTGTGTGTGTGTGTGTGTGTGTAATATCTTAAAGACAAGATTAGGATCTGCAAAATCCTAATCCTGGCCATAACCTTGAGTTCATACATATGTAAATATGGACATTAGAATAAAATCTGTGTGGATATTTTTTTTAAAAAAAAGCTTCATACTTTCTGGAGTATTTATTTACTGTTTGGATATACCACTGTTTTGATATACAAACTAAAGTTGTCACAATAGCAGTCAACATAGCCTCACTTTTCTCAATCTTGGGGTGTCAAAAAGACGACACTATAATAAAGTAACTAGCTTCAAGAATATTGTTGATCATCAGCATAACAGAATGTTCAAGTCAGCAGAAGAAAGGAGTACAGATATCTTGCCTGCCCTATGGCATATTTAACAAATTTAGAGGTTCCTATTCATCGAAGGGCTTTCACCCTGGCTCGATGTCATGCTTTCCCATCAACTGTACTCGAAGGCCACTACCGGAAGATCCCTTTCCCAGAGAGATTCAGCTCTTGTGATTCGGATCATATAGAAACAATAGAACATGTGCTCTTCTAGTGCCCTTTCTACAGGGACATCCATGCCAGGCTTATCTTACCTCTGATATACAAGTACCCAGGCAGTTCAGGACAATTTTATACCTTCCTGCTGCTTGTAGATACTAATTCAGCTACAACCTACAATGTTTCAAAGTTTTGTGCAGCAGCATACAAAATCCGTCAGGGGATGACTGGTCCCAAAAGTTAACTGTGTATCCAGTAATCATCTTCCTTGATACTATAATTTGCTGATAGACCTGTGCATTGTATGTTTTTACCCTATTTCCCCTTCTGCTCCCTCGCCCCTATTGTGCTTCAGTATTTATATTTATATTTTAAATGTACTAAACGTACCAAGTTTGTATGAAACAGTGACTTTTATTTCCTGTGCTGGTCTATGACCAAAATAAATAATTTGATTTGATTTAAGTGCTCAAGATGGGCAGGCCCCCAATCAACTGCAAACCTGTCCTATGAGGAAGGGACTTTAACCTGGTGGGGATTAAGGGCATTTATGGAGTTCTCACCTTATTTATGTTTGCTGTCTTTCCCCCTTAGTTCTCCATATCAGCATTGTTAGTGAACTAATATTATTTTAGATTTACTGTGTATGTGTAAATCCAATTTATAAAATAATCCATAAAATACACATATTACAAAAAAATGAGCACAGTTCTGTTTGTTAAAATATGGAAGAAAATTTCCAAATGCTCACAACTTAACCAGGAAATGCGACTTGATATTAGCAAGACATGTCATCCTTAACCCTGTACTTTGTAAAAACTATTTTACTTTTATCACATTGCAAGTTAAAAACATAAGGCATTGTTCATCTATTTTTTCCCCTAATAGCTGAAAAACAGAGAATATTTGGGCCTCATTCTGTACTACCTCTTCTCCCCCTTGAAATAACATTTAGAGCTGTGTTTCTTGCACAGCTCTTGCCCCTCCTTTGAGACCATTTTTTTCCTGACAACCACCACACCGTTCTGGACATAGCTCCCTTTACTTTCCCTGAAACAGCTTCTCTAAATATACCTGTAACGCTTCGCCCCCTGCACTACAATTGCTGAAACATTAACAGAAATGTGAAGGGAAAACTGTCCTCAGAATCTGCTGACATGTGCACATTTGTTCCTTTTGTTCTTGGCTACGAGTTAAATAATAAATATGTACAGGAAGATTCAGAACAAAAAAGTTGTCAAGTTGTCAACCTTAAGAATAACCTCAAAAATTTGCAGAATAGAAAAAGAGGAATATATTAGATTGTCATGTCTGTTTTATGTCTATGCGACCTCTGCCATGTACAATAGTTAACAGTACTAAAACTAAGCTTTCAGTTCACTCACTACATTTATCTCAAGGAACAGAAGGGAGCCATTACAATGGGATGACCTTAAAAGCTACTGTCATTTTAAGTATATTTTAGCAAAACAAATTGGCTACATGCATAAACACATCATGTCAGTCCTGCATCCTATGAAACAAAAGTGTTGCTAATGTCTCAAAATGTGTTACATAGATGCAGGGGAGAAGAGCTTCCATTTAGAAAGGTATCTATGGGTTACAATATTTTCAAACTTTTGTTTAATATGTTCTTTAAGTACTGGACATGGAAGAATGAGCTGTTTTTCCTTCTACTAATAAACCTATACCGTTTGGTTCCATGGGACTAGTTAAAAGTGAATGAGACAAAATGACTTTGAATTCATATTATTTTTCTTTTCTTTTCTTTTCTTTCTTTCTTGCTAGAATGATCTGTTATACTAAAGTGAATGCTTGCAGTAGGTACAGGCAATACTCTCGTTTGATACTTTCCTTGGAAACAGAGCATTCAAATGTTTGGGTTTCTTAAACAAACAAAGACATACTACATTGATATTGCAAAAATCATCTGCAAAAGAAATGCTTCAAACAATCGAAGAAAAAGTGTAAAAGTGCAAATCATGTAAAAATTGAATAAAAAGGAATATAAAAACTAAAAGATAGTTCAACAAGGACTTACCATAAAAGTGTAAGAATCAGTGCTGCTACTTAATATACATACTATATCTATATCTATATGTTTAAATGTAAGAATTCTCTTGATGGAAACTTACCCACACTAGAATTCAGATCGCCATTCTCAGATTCTGCTCCATGCTGATTATTACTGGCATGATAGTTCGACATAGCTTCTAATTTAATTTTTTTCACCTTCATTGCTTCTGCAATGGCTGCATTGGTGGCAGCTGCTGCCGCTGCTGCAGCAGCTGTCAAACCTAAAAAGAGACAGGAATTGAACTAATGAAATCATAACTTCCACCAACTTTCCATCTGCATTGATATTCTTGCATCATCTCCAGTCAAAGAATCTTGAAGAAATGAAATGAGAAAGGCTTTTTGTCCTTCTAATGCTTGTCAGTAAAGCTGTTGTTTTATGTTGCTCTTGTACTTTATTAGAATCAAAGCAGTCATACTTTGAAGCAGATTCATTGAAACCAGTGGCACCTAATAACAAGCAATTTAATACATTTTCTAAATGTGTGATTAAATTTGAATCCAGCCCTTTGCTTATTTAGCCATCCAGTAACAAAGGTCTGCTTTGGATATTGAAGTTCTATTCCATGTTCAAACACATAGATCCCTAACAGAGGAAGTGCTAGAGACGTCCCATCAGATGGGTTGTGTTCATATTCTTGATCTCTAGTGGTGTTAGGTCCCAAATTACTGCCGCAAATACTGTAAGACAATCTTGTTTAGACTGGCATTTATTAGCATCACTGAAAACAGGTATGGAGAAATGCCTATATTATGTTTAGGATTCAAAGAATCTTCTCATACTGTTAAGGGAGATGGTTAGGTTTCATTTCCAATGGGAACAATTGAGCTGTATTGAATCCCACATCTCAATCCAGCTATTGAGAAATGTTTTTCTGGCAACTTAGAAGATTAGAGGATAGGGAATGGAAAGCCCTGGATATGTCTTCTTGGCTCCTAGAAATAAATAGGGTTCCCTCCCTCTCAAAAAAAAAGTTAGTGTATATTGGCTTGGATTCAAAATACCAATCAAACCAAAACACCAGGAAAAGGCAATGTGCTCCTTATGAATGTTTATGGTAGACAATGTCTGGTGAGGGAAATAGGTGGATCCATGGATTCTCAGTTTGAAAGATGAGTGTGCACACTATTTACACACTAAAGCAAATTATTCCTGTTCTGAATCATACTCCAGAAGATACAGCTAACAATGCTGCATCATATAATTAGACAACAACCTTCTTGCTGTCACAAATGAAACATGTCTTGGAGGTCTAAGCAGGCAGAATTTAAAGAGCAAATGAATTATTTAAAATACTATTTTGCTATTTTACAAACAAATATCACTTTGTATCATGTCTTTTTAACAAAGCATGAGAATACAGAATTGAGCCACACATTTACTACCCAACTTCAATTCCTCATTTATTTGCTTATGCCTTGACACCTGTTTCAACTTGCATAAAAATTCCGTATTAATTTATATGTTCATATCATCCACACCCCATGTATAGAAACTTTATTAAAGTTTGACAGTTTTGCTCAGCACCCTTAGCATGGCAGAGACAAGATGCTGTTGCTGTCCAAAACAGAAGTAAGATGATGGCCATTCCAAGCATGAGCAGAGAAACATGTGTTTGTTTTATCCCCCTACTTGGTGAGGCCTGCAACAGGCCTCCCCTCTTCTCTCCGGGTTTGACCTTGAGAAAGACATTTCTTAAAAACAGATGTTGCTCAAGCAACATGGCAGATAAACTCAATATACATCTGACAGCCTTTGCCAGCTACAAAAATGAAGGGTGGCAGTAATGAAAATGAAGGGTGTGTTTTGAGGCTTCGGCCTGTGTAAGCCGCATCGAGTCCTTCGGGAGATGCTAGCGGGGTACAAATAAAGTTAATAATAATAATAATAATAATAATAATAATAATAAAGAAGCTTTCATCTGGAATTCCCAGGATCCATTAGGTGTAAAGGCAGGTAAAATCAATGTATTTCACCTCTTATCAACATCTTTGAGATGGAAAGGAATAGTGGAGTCATGGTCAGTTATCTTTGCATCAAAACATGAAAAAAGTACAGGTTAAGTGTCCCTTATCCAAAATGCTTGAAACTAAAACTGATTTATTTTTTGGATTTTGGAATATAAGTATTATAGTATGTATTGTATTTGTGAGGCTAGAACAGTGGTTCTCAACCTGTGGGTCCCCAGGTGTTTTGGCCTACAACTCCCAGAAATCCCAGCTAGTTTACCAGCTGTTAGGATTTCTGGGAGTTGAAAGTCAAAACATCTGGGGACCTACAGGTTGAGAAACACTGGGCTAGAAGGAAAGAGAGGATGGAAAGTTGTGGGTTTCCCCTGGATTAGTGCTTCAGTTCCCACCATTGTATAGATCCTCAAGCTTTCTTCAACCTCACATCTTGTTCACTCTCTTCTTGTGCTGTGTATGAGACATGACAGTGGAGAAAGACTGCAGATCAGGTGCAAACAAACAGGAGTGCCAAAACTGCTCTTCTGAAGATGGTAGAAGGCAGCTGGTGGCAAACATTTTCAAGTTTGAGGGATTTTCAAATTTTGGGTTTTCCAAGGGAGGGAGGTTCAACCTGTACTTTGTCAGCTAACAGTTCCCAGAATCCCACAGCCAATATGGCTACTGGTTCTGCCCCTGCCACAGAGTGAAAGGAAAGCCATCTGGTTTTATGGACCCTCACCAGCTTTCAGGTAGAAGGGAATGACATGGGTGCTTCGTTTTTTCCTGTCACCTGCAGAAAGAAATCAGGGCATGGGACCCTTGCTCTAAAGGCCAGGACATTTCCTGGCAAGGACTAATGTTTCATTTGCTGCCAAACCTTTCCAAAATGAGTTGAGCTTTGTACATAAATATATTCCCAACCAGCTTAAACGTAAGCCAATACAGAGGTTTTCTATGTAGTATGTGAAAGATGTCTGGCACTCTGCTCTAGCAAATCATCAGACAAAGAATTGCAGAGGTCTCCTAAATTGTACTGGTTGGTCTACAACACTGCTCTGTCTGGAAAACATTGCTTTAAGCAACAGAAGCTTTGGACCTACAATAATTCAGTGTTTGGGATCAAAACCACCCGCCTAGGAATGGAAAAGCTATCATTCTGTGGTTATACCACAGAGACTCCCTAGAATAACACAAAGGTTAGGATGTGAACTATCACATATCCTCATTCCAAATGTTTATTGTGCTTATTTGTTTCATATTCCCAAAGCCCTTTGGAAAAATTATGCGAGCTGCCATTAAAAATGTTAGATGAAAATAGTCAATCTACAAAAGCAATTATAACACACAGAGACAGTAACACCAAGTATTTGTTTTTTGCTGCTGGTATTTGTTACCCCAAAATGTAAAAAAAAAATGTGTCAAAAAAGTCAGCCTATTACAGTTACTGGCAGTGGTTATCATTAATATTCTGAAATTGATAAGCTGTTTATGTCTGGCATTCTTCCTGCTGATTATTCAGTGAGACAGGCCACTTTATAAATATCTCATCACTCCAGCGTCACACAAATTTCATCGACAGTGCTCCTGCACAGCTATTAGCAATATGAATCTAACCATTACAAGAGGGAGGAAAAATCGAACATGTGGCATTAATACGCAGTCCTGGTTCCTAACCATCTGATAGGCAGATGGCGTAAAGTGGATTCTCCAGCTGAAATGAAGGGGCACATCATTTAAAACCTTGTTTGCATTCTAACTGATATCAGTGCCATATTGATATACATGATACATCATGGCAGTAGTTGAACAATCTAGTTTGTTTCAGTCATAAATGTTTACAGCCTTGTTTTTTATCTTTAGAAGCATGTTCAGAAGCGCATATTTTTAATTTATGAAATCTATTGTTTACTTCTGTGGAACCAGAAGATTAACAAGACACAGGAATATGCAATTGCTTCAACCACCACTGAACGATGAATAAACTACAGGGTAATGTGTGTGTGTTTTCTTCAGTAAAGACAGTTAGTAAAGGAATTAAAAAATTAGCTTAGACATTTTATACATTAAATACATTTATTCATTAAACCTCCCAGCTTCTACCCCATGTGACATACTTAGAAGTTTAATGCTTTAACACAGCTATTCATTTAAAGCTCTCACTGTGTGCAATTAATCTTGTCCAACAATTTAATTCAAAAAGCAAAACATCAAAAAAGTAAAGTTCAATTCAACAATTGTGGCTCTGAAGTAATCTTGCCTACTGCTGACAGTTCCTATAGACTCATTGGGAAAAGTCTGTTCAAGGTGTCTTGTAAGAGCTGGGTGAGCCTGAATTATAACTCAATTCAAAGCTCTTCAAGTCTTAGCGAGGTCTCAGGTCTCAGGAGAAAAGAAACACTGAATGCACTACTTTTACAAATCCACTTCGGGGCTGACCAAAACGACAGTGCTGATTAAAATGATAATATTCACACATCTAGGAAATTTATGAAGTTTTGAAAATGATTGTTTGTCAGTTGTTTAAAAACTTTAAGAACATGATAGGTTCTGTAGGTTTGTTTGTAAGTTGGAACAGATACATTTTAAAGTGTAACTCATACGTGCATGCGCACACACATACACATAAGCTTTGCATAGCATAGGGAAGGGTTAACACCTTTGTGTGGTGTTTGTTTTGCTGTCTGTGCCCCTATTCAGAAGATTCCACCTCACTTTCTGTCTCTGTGAGAATTGGATTAAGGATTGGTGAGAAAGCTTCATTGGAGATACATTTTCCCTGAGTGAATTTCCCTTCCAAGAGGTAGATTTCTCTCACTTCCTGTTGTCTCACCCTCGTTCCTAACTTTGAGTCATTTGTAAGTCGGATGTCTGTAACTCAAAACTGCCTGCATTTGAAAGTCATTATCACTGTATTCAGTAAAGCTTACTCTTAGGTACGGTAATATAGGGTTGCTTCCTAAAGATAGAAATAACCTTCTGGTTTTTAAATCTTTGGAAGACAGAGATCCACAGAGTTTATTGTTCTGGATCCTGACAGTCACATTAAAGTAAACCCATGTTAATCATGACTAAATGTGTAATTCAAATTAGTTGATTTCAGTGAAACCCTTAGATTTCAAATGGATCTACTCTAAACATGATTAGGCCTGTGTCTCCAGTGCAATGTTGTGATTGTTGTGATTTAACCTTCCTTTTAAAAACATGGATGTAATCTAAGAGATAATGCAAACACTGTATTCAGTGTTTGCATTATCTCTTAGATTACATCCAT